AATCATTAATAATAAAAACATAAAACCTTTGAAGTACAAAGATATTTAATGTTGAAAGATTTTCATGACTGTAACAATTTAGGAAATCAACCTATTAAAGTTAATAAATGTTAGCTCCACCCAATGTTGACAATTTTTTTTAAAACCCTGTAATTCAGCATATTACTTGATACTCTTAACATTACCAAATAAGGGCCATTGAAACTTACGGTTATTTTTCTCCTATGGGAGATCATGGCTTAGAGTTAATTCAAATCATTGTATGCTATGCTGTATTGCAACATTTAAATGATGTGAGTAACTAATCTAAATGCAATATCATCCCACAGTATGTATTGTTTTCTCATTTTCACTTTGTGTGTGCAGTTTGAAGTCATCAATGCGAATTAAAATGAAATGTAGATTTTATTTTTACAACCACCATCAGTTAGAATATCTGTGTTTGTTCAAGGGAGCTGTATAAAATCATGGTTCCACAATGCTGTTTTGTTTTCATCATGGGTTTCATTGAATTTTGAGAATCTTGAAGAGATAATAAATTGACAAATCAAGAAAAACTTTTCTTAACCATAGAAAATATAAATAAAGCCCTAATGTTAGATTAACATACAATGCTTTTAGTACATTAATATGCAGAGCATAAATATCCTGACATTAATTGATTTGCCATAAGAATCCAAGTGAATAGATCATTAGTGGGAGTAGAAAGGCTTTAACTACCAGAGAAAATAGAGTATGGAAGAGTTCAAAAAGCTCTGAAGTTGTGTTTTTCATTCCAGTAAGACTATTGACCCTAGCTTGGAGAACATAGATCCTCAAAAGGAAGGCTATTCGAAAAGCTTTTATTCAGATATTCACTCTGCTATATATATGGAAAACTGTATAAATTTAAAGGGGTTGCCCCTTATAAATTTCCATGACCAAATAGAACTTCCAGGTCTTCACTACTACTATTTGTTTTTACTATGAGTGTGAAATTTATGTCATGGAGAACATAGACTTTGTTTCAAGAAAGAATATTTACTAACTTACAGTCAAAGCAAAACACAGTTGTAGAAATAAAATTAGCTTTCCACTGAATTATATATTCTATGCCAAAAGGCAGTCAGATTGGGGACATATAAGATAGAAAAAGCATGAGACTCAATGGCAATAATGGGTTTTTAGTTCTAGGAGTTCTAAGATAATTGTCTTCAAATACTCTTGCATATTCTATCAGTCATTCTAAAGAAGTGGTCTATATTCCTATGTTATTAAATGTATATTAAATTTAACTTTAATAAAAAATATAAACAAATCTAAAGCTTTGCTCTCTTAAATTTAACTTTATTAAACAATAATATATTTATATTTAACTTTAGCAAAGCTTTATGATGTAAAGCTTTTTTCTTTTCCTAAATGACAGTTACACAGTACCATTGCTCAGACACATCAGTGAAGAAGACAGCACCACTCCAGTAAAAATATCAGTGGGTTTTGAAAATCACGCATTCTGAGATACCTGGTGAGAAAAAACAATGTGCTTATACCAACTTTTCATGAGAAAATAATTTTCATGAGAGAGAATTATAGGAAACGTTGGCATTTTATGTATCACATTTTTCCTAAACAATTGTGGAAAGTACTATTTTATTCACAGCCTGTCTGATGTGTTTGTCACCGAACTCTATCTTCCCCTGACAAGGGTTACATCTGAGCCAGAAAACAGGAGACAGCCTCTAGGTGTAGTCTTCAGTTTTTAAGGAGAAAAAACATTTACTATCATGACCACCCAGAAATATAAGAACTAAAAGGTTACTTCAGCTAGAAAAAAAAGTTTTGAGAAAAATCAAAGCATTTCTTGGGTTCAAAACTTTTGACTTCCATTCAATATCATGTTAATCAATTTTTGTTCTACCTACCTTCTAAGAAGAGCTACTAATAACATGCCATTGAGAAGTATTATTTTTTTAAAAATTAGATAAAATTAACAATAACAACTTGGAGCTTTTAGCAACTCTTTCTTGAAAAATGTAAAAATAAAGAATTTCTGAAATTAAAACATAGCTCAGGGGAAACAGTTTCCCAAGTCATTCAAAATAAACCTTAATTTATTCAGCTAACTGCCCCAAAATGTCTTCATTCACATAATTTTTTTAAACATTTCTTTGAAATAGTGTTTAAAATTCTTTCAATTAAATTTCATTTCAGTTAGTGATCTCTTTAAAAAAAAAAACAAAAGCAAACGCAAGTATCTCTCTTGAACCTGGTTTAAAAGCCATCAGTCATTCATACCTCAGTGCGAATTGCTTTAATTAGCATGTTTCCTTCCTAATTGCTCTATTTAAACAGGAAGAGGAAAAAATGGTAAGTTACTTTGATGGGTAGGGCTCCTGAGACTTATTGGGATCTTAAGGCAGGAGACAATTTCAAAAAATTAAAAAGATGAGAAATGCGCTCAAAAGACAATCTACATCTATTTTGAAAAGTTAGCCTTGGACAGCCCTATTATAAAGAAAAAAGAAAAAGTCTTGTTCTTGCTGTGCTGTGTGCCCTCCAGCTCTGCGAACTTGGAATATAGACTTGTTCTATTAGTAATATAATTTAGCTATGTTATTGATAAATAGGAGTTTGCGTTCAGGCCCAGCAACCTTTCTAATGTTGTTTCTATAGAAAAACACATTTCAAGTCCCTAAATACAAACTTCAAGCTTTTTAAATTCATTTCTGTAACTTGAAGACTGCTTTTATTGGTCATCTTTTCTTTTTTAATTGTAAATGATTGATACTAAATCAGAATAATTTATTATAAATTATTATCAGGATAATGAGTACAGTAATAATAAAAGCTTTGTCTTATAATTTCCCCTGATATTTTAATCTAAAGCCTCATTAATAACTGAATCAACACAGCTAATAAATTCTTTATTCTATCTTTTAGCAAGTATTATGTGCCAGATAGTGTGCGAGAGACTCTGTACCATGCTAAGAAATAAGTAACTTCATATGTTGTGATATGAATGGCACTTCAACCCTGGCCAGGTGTCTCAGTCAGTTGGTACATCATCCCATCATTCCATATACCAAAGTGTTGCAGGTTTAATTTCCTGTTCAGGGCACATGTCTGAGTTGCAGTTTCAATTCTACATTGGGTGGCATATAAGAGGCAACCATTTGATGTTTCTCTTTCACATTAATGTTTCTCTGCCTCTCTTTCTCCCTCCTTAACCCTTTCTCTAAAATCTATTAACATGTCCTCAAATGAGGGTAAAAATAATATATATAGGCAGGTTTATACCTTACCTTAAGAAGATTGTATATTTGTAGAATTATAGGCTCAATTTTCCTGAAGAAACCTGTATTAATATTTTATCCTTGCCCTCCCATAAACCACAAAAATATTCAGAACATTTTCACATTTTATCAACAACTAAGCAAAGCATTAATTAGAGTGAACAGTATAATGAAAATATACCTGAGCCAGAAAAAAATTGTTAATTGAAGGATATCATTCTTTTAATTTGGAAATGTTACTGGCAAATCTATCCTAAATATTAATATTGGTAAAGTATTTAGTAATTTAGAATTAGGAATAATTCAAAAATAAAACTTGTTTACTTTTTATACGTCATAAATGTATATAAGTGAGCAAAATAAGAAAAATATATAAATTACTCAAAAATTTTTCAAAGGAGGATCCAATGATATACTTGGCCACATTCTGAGTTGTTGTGTGCATCTGAAAATAATCTCTTTGAAAACAATTTGAAAACATCCATTGTTAATTCAGATTGACCTTTCTTTGATGTCCAGAAGACTTTTTGTGTATTTTCAAAATCAGTGATGATAGATTATGAAAGAGAATTTAACCAAGTAAGTAAGTCCTTATTTTTTATTTTATTTCATTATTTTATTTTATTTAACTAATCCTTATTTCACTAGTATTGCATAATTATTATCTTCTAGTGGCTTCTTGGCCTGATATTAATGTGCAATTGAACAAACATCAACGGCAGTTTCTATCATCATTATTATCAGATACACAATCTAATATGTCAGTGTGTCTGCCCCAGTACTAAAGGTTTTCATATTGTCTTTGATAAATTAAGATTTATTATTTTAAGAGATCTTATGTATATATTTATTTTTAGAGAGAGGACGAGGGACAGAGTAAGAGAGAGAGAAACATCAATAGGTTGCCTCTCACACACCCCCAGCTAGGGGCCTGGCCCACAACCCAGGCATGTGTCCTGACTGGGTTTCAAAATGTTGACCTTTCAGTTTGCAGGATGGTGCCCAACCCGCTGAGCCACACCAGTAAGAACAAGCAAGGTTTTATTTTTTAAAGCAATTTTAGACTCACAGCAAAATTGAGGAGAAGATACAGAGATTTCTCATATGTTCCCTGCCCCTCACATACATAGCCTCTTTATGTTTATTGTCTTTTTGTGGATAAGTCAATAAGATGAGTAAAAACAAGTATGCAGATATAATCTGTGTGTACAAGTTGTTTATTTTATGTGCATTGTTCCATTCTGCTTATTTGAACATAAGCTACTTAAGCCTTTTGAAATTTCATAGCTATATTCTACTCCATGTTTTACAGAAAGTTTTGTTTCAGTAGTATACAATAGAAAAAAAATTAATGTTTTTAAGTATGCATAAGAAACATAGATACACGAGATTTTCATATATATATTTCTTGCTTTAAAATGTGGATATTTTTAATATACATGAATAATTTGATAAAGCATCTATAACATTTGATTTGATAATAGAATTAATAACCTTAAACCTTTTTATAATTTCTATTTCTCTTTAAATTACATTTTCATGTTGAATAATAATGCTTATTGAATAATGTAATATGTGAGGTCATTTGGGGGAGAACCTGATGTTTTTTAATTTTTTTATCAATGACTTGCTCATTAATTGAGAGCATCCTCATTATAGATATCTTTAAATCAAAGGGCTTTTTCCTAAATTCTTCAAACACATGAAGAGAATTAAACGTTGTCTTCCATACTTGCCTGGCTAAGGACACACCATGATCACTAAGGTGATTTTCCCAGGGCAAATCTTTTCCATTGCACTTTGGGTGTGCTGACCGCTGCGATTTCCCCAAATGTCGAAAGACTGGGCTGCATAATTTGTGGTAGTGGGGAACTGAGTCTGCGCTCTTCCCTGGAAAAAATAATAAAATAAAAATAAAAATCCTCTCCCAAAATCAGAGAAGGGTTTTATGAAAATAATGCAATTTATAATGGGACAGTGAAAAGGTATTCTTGTAGTGTGGGGAAAAAAAATCAAGAATGACATGAGAGAGATTACATGAGTTGAGCTTTTGATGTCTCGATTCTGTATAAACTATCATCCGTAGGTGTATCAATTAGTTTTTGCATAATGATTGACAACAAAATTTAGTGGCTGAAAACAATAGTCACTTTTTTGTGTGTACTGTTCTATGGGTCATCAATCTGTGACAAGCTGAACTGAGCGGTTTTTCTGATCTAGGCAAAGCTTGCTCATGCACTGTAGACAGCTCATTGTCAGCTGGGAAATTGTTTAAAATGGCCTAAACCTGGAGGGCTTATCTTGGCCCTTTATGGTTTCTCATCTCCCATGAGGCTACTCCAAGGTTATTCATATTTAGTGCAGGAATCCAAGAGGGAGCACAGAAGAAGGTAAGAACTCTTGAGTTCTGGGCTCAGAATGGGTTCAATGTCACTTCCATTATACCCTGCTGGTCAAAGCAAGTCACACAAGCTCAGCTCAGATTCAAGGGGCAAAGCACCATCTTTTTATGGAAAATTCTACAAAATAAATATGGTCAGTTTTACAAGACAGCAGAGTAAACTAAAAGTATACCTGCATAAGTACCAGGGAGTATTGAGAGTTGCTTATTTTAGGAGGACAAAAGAGAATGGAGGGTACTTTTCATGAAATCTGGCCTGCAAATATAAAGACAAATTTTCTAGTCTCAGATAATATTAACAGTGCTTAGCATACATAAGGTACTTCATAGAATTTCAAGAGAAACATTTATGTATACACTATATGCACATGAGCAAAATAGGGTACATGGAGTCTTCATAATAACCAGCAAGACAAATATTAGTACTCAAAATATACAGGATAGAAATTGAGACTCATAATACAATGTGCATAGTAATTATTTTACATATAATGGTAATTTTTTCAGGGAAAAAGTTATAAATATAAATGAGTACAAAAACCCTTCACATCTTGTTATTCTCAAGCGAGTGAATGACTAACTTATGACTAATTTTCAAAAATAGGGGAATTGGTGATCAATGAAGCCAACTTGTGGGCAAGTCCCAGCAAGTTTTCAACTTGTAAGTATTTAATTAGCTACTAGCTCAAATTAATATTTATGTCAAAAGTCAGTGAAACAATATGAAAGTTCAGACTGTTCTTCCTCCAAATTAGTCCATATCCACAGGGTTTTCTGAGTTTCATAGCAAGCTTACTGCTCAGACTGGTGTTGCTTATATAGTAGATAACTGTACATTTTCAATTGTCTACTGATAAAAAGGAAAGACATTTTTACTGCCACATGGGCAACAATCTCCGACAGCTCTTTGTTATGAAATGTACTCCTGTTTCTCTGCTCAGACCCAGGAGTAGCACTGCTGTCTGCAGCCTGGGTGCTCTCAGTCTGACCATGTGTGAGTACACTGGTGCGCTCAAGGTCATCCCAAAGAAGGGCGATTACCCTCTTGCCAATAACTGCAAGTGCCTATGAGTCCCTTCCTCCAGTTAACAGTGCCCTTTAACCAACATGAAAAATGTCCAGAGTGTCCACTGTTATTTACATATTTTTTTGTAACCTATGTCTTTACAACTCAGTGGAGTCAAGTGCTTTTATTGAATAACTCCTTGTTAAAATAACATGACAGTCTAAAAATGTCATTCTCATTTATTTCCTGGAGACATTGTCTTTTAGTTAATGGTGTTCCTTCTAGTAATAGTAATAGGAATTCTAGTTCTTGACCCAAAACAGAAAAGGCCCGCATTTGTAAAGGAATGTACATCAAGACTAATAACACACATGAGGGACCTGTTGAATTTGTTTAAAATATATGTTTTAAGAGTTGTATGCTTTCTGCCAGTGTTAAGGCTCCTAATCCCAGCTTTATCTCACAGTTCTGGTCTTCAGCCTTTTAAGTATGTGCTTTCCCCATTCAATATCAAAACATATATCTTCATGTTCTCTGTTTCACACATTGTGTTCTTTATGAATTAATGCTGGTGTGGCTCAGTGGACTGAGCACCAGCCTGCAAAGCAAAAGGTTGCCAATTTGATTCCTGGTCAGGGCACATGCCTGGGTTGTGGGCCAGCTCCCCAGCTGGGGGCATGCGAGAGGCAACCGATTGCTGTATCTCTCAGACATCAATGTTTCCCTCCTTTTCTTCCTCCCTCCCTTTCCCTCTCTCTAAAACTAAAAAAAAAATCTTTAATCAATAAATTTAAAGGAACAGATAAATTTCAGTGGCTTTGTATTCTGCACAATAACTAATAAACAGTAGGTATGAAACATATGCTTCCTGGTAATTCCTGACTATCTAAACATTAAAACTTCCAACATTCCCACTTTTTTTATTACTCCTCTATATTACACCTCTACCTGAGACAAGACACTCTAATTAATATCCACTGAAGGAGAAAAAAAGAGAGATTAAAAGAAGCCAATCTTGATTTTGGCTAAAAATACCACCAAGGACCTTTCAGAAAACTCACATTAGAAATAGACCACTGAAGAAAAGTTACACCACTATGGTCAGATGTTAATGGAACCTCTCAACAACAGTGACTCACTCTCATCTATATACTGGGCATGATGTGATTCAAACATGTTCCCAAAGGTCTTTGGGTCCTATAACAATGATTAAAAGAGCAAATATTAAATACCAAAGACCTACCACATACACATCCTACCTCCAGAGTTACCCCTCTGCCAGTATCTCAGTCTGAACATCTTTTCCTTTATTTCTCTACTTATTCAAGGTCCTGCCTCTCCAGTTAAGTTCCACTTACGCTAAGTTCTTTCCTTGTCATTTCAGGCCAGAATTGTCATTTTCTCTTCTGAACCCTTTCAATATTTATGTTTGCAAACATTCTTTAGGAAATTATTCATGGGTGGCTGATATTTTTAGTAAAATTTTTCCACCACCTATATCTTCAAATATCTTAAAACTCCCTGAGCCAGGTGTTTGAGAAAAAGATAAATAGGCTGAGTACAAAGGATTTTCAGGGCAATTAAAATACTCTGTATAATACTATAATGGAGAAGCCATATCTTTACACATTTGTCAAACCCATAGAATGTGTAACACCAAGATATAAACTATAAACTTTGGGTAATAGGAAAAAAAGCCATCAAGGACAAGAATCATGTCCATGTTTTAATGTGCACAATTCCTAACACATACCTTTTAAAATTGCAGATAAATGGTAAACATTTGTTCGTGATAATACTAATCTATTTGGGGGAAGGTATCCTGAGACGGTGGAAGTGAAACGGGGGAGGGAGCTGCGTAGACAAAATGACATTAAAATAAAGTAATATAATATAATCATTATATCTAAAATTATTTTTAGCTTAACAATATATTTTCAGATACTCTCTGACTTGTTATATATATTTATAAAATCTGAAAAATAGTGTTTCATACAGAGGTACTTTGCAAAACCTGACATGACATGCTATCCCATTTAATCTATCCCGTTTAGCACCATATATTTAAAAGGCAGGACTATGTTTGACAAGTTTACTGAACAGGCGTAGTATTTGTGCCTGCTAAATTTCTAGAAATAGGCACAAAGTCTAAAACAGAGAATGTTGTCTTCACCTAAGAACAAAGAAGCAATAGTGCAACCCCTTTTCTTTTGCCTCCTAAAATTATGTTCCCTAAATGAAATCTGATACTGCTTGGAGAAAAAGTAGGGCAAGAACAGAACTATAACTTTAAAACAGACTCATTTTCAAGCAGAAATCCAAATTGGAATGTCAACTAATGCCAGTAGTAACAGAGTTTTGGCTACAAAACAATCAGTTTATGGACTTATTAACAGTTCATAAAGTGTATGGCATTCTTCTGGTTCTTGTCACTGGTGAACATATGCTCTCAATTTGCAAGAGACTGAAGCACCATTCCTTAAATATTAAAAATAGTTGTGAGCATCACAACAGAAATATCTCAAACCACAGTAGAAATATGGTTCTTATTCAAAGAGCAGCAGATCCTTTCAGAGGTGATCAATGACTGATGATACAGGGGGTTTTGAAAGGGGGTTTTGAATGGGGATTTTGAGGTTTTCTAAATGGTGAAAATTGTAACTTCCCCATTTCATAAGGACATGATAAACCCTATCCTGTTTCAAATTTATGATTCCTCTAGGCCAGAGTTCTGAACTGGCTACTGGTGCCAAGATTCTTTATGCATGGGCAAAGTTGTCCTCAGAATGTCAAACCCAAACAGTATTGTTATTATGGACATCTTCCTAACCCTGAATGAGTCAACAGTTTTTAGAGGTGCAAAGTTACTTTGTCTTTTTGCTCCAAAACTCTTGTACTTAATATATTCTACTGTACACATGTGTGACTCTATTCCTGCTTAGAAATTAAGCTACTCAACGTTAGAGATCTTTTCTTCTGTGTGTGCCCTCTCTACCTTTTGTCTTCCACAAGGCACCTAGCACAAAGCCTACGCCTAAACTAATCAGTGAGTATTTTTTAAGTGAAAGGAGCATGTCAAGTCTAGTATGACATTGAAGTAAATATATTTGTGGAAATATATATATGAATACTGTATTACTAATTATCATGCATTAATTTACCTTTTAAAATGAGATTTTCCTTTCAGTGACACTAAGATTAGGATTTTTTAATTTCTTAGTGTTCAAGTGAATGCTTTATTTTATTTGTCCTTAGTTTATCACTTTAAAGCTCTTGAAATGACCTTTTATCCTACATTAGGACTTGATGGCTAATTCTAAATTTATTAGCATAATTAGGATTTACATAATCTATGCATCAAATAAAATGTTTCTTTCTCTGAACTTTTTATCCTGACATTTACATATTCTTAAAATCTAAATTTTAAGGAATTTGGCTCTATTTAAATATATGAATACATTGATAATGCATTTTTTTATTAAGATG